ACATAGCGATCCTGTGCACAGTGAATGAGTGAATTAAAATATTTAAGCTTACGTGTTGTAAAATTGCCAGTTTGGAGCTTATAAACACCAAAGCAACGTTTCTACACGGTCCTTCATAACCCTCGTCATTCCTCGGCTTCAGCTATTTGAATTTCAAGTAGTCTTTAAGGTTTGAAAAGGAAAAGTTAGACTTTCTACTTATGTATTTCTCCTGGCGTTCGCTGCGTTCTCCATGTGCACACTGCTTCGATCCTTCGACAAACCCGGCTGCAAAAATAAAGGCAGATTCACTCGGTAAGGGACAGCAAGCTTGATAAATATTCACGATAAGCTATTTTTAAAGATGTTAAGCGTATTTCAATAGTTAAAGTTGCTCAGGAGAATGTATAAAGCGAAGAAAGAAGCGAGATGAGTTCACGTACCACAGACTACGCCGAAACCTTCCCACTCGCGCAGAGGGATTTCCCGCTATGGCTGGATGGTAACCACTGACATGCGCAATGACTCGTTTCTCGACAATTTTACTTCCGGTAGCCGTAGTAGCGCCAGCCGTAGTGATTTGCTTAAACTCCCTAATGCCTAACCATGACGAGAAGACGCTGTATCCTTAAGAAAATTAATAAAAATGCCTCCAAACGTAGCCGTTTGATTTTGCTTGAAAGTTTTACCTGTGTGACCCGATAGCCTCGTTTCGAAACTTCAAAGTCCGCTGAGCTCTCGTACAGTGGGCGTAAATGCGATAAGGGCTATTAGTGTTCGCACTCGAGCACAATGGCTTCAGTATCGAACTACCTTTTTCAAGATAAGGAAACAGAACGGAAGAAACAGGAAGAAAAAGAACAGAGGGAACGCGTAGAAAAAGAATTGAAAGAACACGTAGAAAGAGTATTGAAAGAAGTCGAGGAAAGAGAACGAAAGGAACGCCAAGAAAGAGACTTAAAAGAACACGTAGAAAGAGTATTGAGAGAAGTCGAGGAAAGAGAACGGAAGAAATGCGAAGAAATAGAACGTAAGGAACGCGAAGAATTAGAACGGAAGGAACTCGAAGAAATACAACGGAAGGAACGCGAAGAAAGAGAATGGGAAAGAGTAAGAAATGACATTCTTAGATTGCAAAATGAAATGGAAGTGGATGCGCGTGCCCACTATTTGTGTGCCGAATACTACGGAAAGTGGAAGTTCATCCTATTTGTCTCACTTCTTATCTTTGGAGGAGCATTGGCAGGCTTTAGGGCACTGTTTCTCGACTGGAAAGTGCCGCTGCTAGGCGATCCTTGGTCAAAGAAGACTGCTATTGCCGTCTTCGCCCTTGGCGCTGTCACATTTGTCATCAGTAAGTGCTACAATGCGGTGGCTGATTCACACGAGAAGCACCACAACGCGGAGAGAAATTGCCGGAGTATAGTAGAAAGAGTGAAATCTGTTTTGCAAAGAGGTTTTACCGGCGAATCTTTAAGTTCCATAAGGGATAATTATGATGGACTTCTGCAGGAAAAGGAAAGTTTCAACAAGATACGACCTGAAAAATGGGCTTATCAAAATGCATCGAAGAAATGAAATGGAGAGAGCGGGTAAATTATCAGCGATAACTTATAAAGGTCCTGACTAAATATAACTGCAAACTGCAAACTGCTGTTCCTACTGTATAGTGAACTAAGATGTTTGATTCTCAGTAAATTAGCAATTTTTATTTATTTCGACAGAAACTTGATTCAGTGAATGCAAATGAGATTCAAGTTGGTGAGGTTTCTGAGAAACATTACAAATAGAAAATAGCCAAACAATAGAACGCATTTACATCACATCAGTGCACTATCATTTTCAAGTAGAGAAATGAAAAATATCGCACAACTTGTACGACTAAAGGGCGTCGAATAGGATAAGTGATTAACTGTAATAGCTCATTTAAGGATGATTTAGTAGATAAATAAAGATGTTTATATCGTACGCGGACGTTCAAATGTAGTTTCGATATCGGTTTGCATTCCCGTATGAAAATGTCATCCC